ATGTTTTCCTGGCACTATAGTGGTCCTTTAAAGCAACAATGTCAGGCATAATTCCCTAACTTCCATTAAATCTTCTTTTATTTATGTCTCTCGTTACTGGCTTCTTTTCTACTTTTCTCATCTGTTTCTCCTAAAATACATAAGACAAAGCAGGGACTACTTTGCCTAATGTATGTTTACTAGGCCTGACAAAACTCAACAAAAGGCTGAGTAATGTTTTGTTATGTCCCCCAGCCGTCACTAGTGATGGCTGTGGGGGAAAAAAGACAATGTCCACTGAGGCTCCGGCTGTCTCGTGGGATCCTCCATAAAACCTCAGTGCTGTACTCCTGTGCATGCGCAAGATCACAGTACTGACGTGGCTCCCGGAAGAAGAAATTTCAAGAGTTGAAGAGGATCTACTGGATGCTGATGTTGGCGGCTGGAAGAGCCAGCTTCAGGTAAGTAGAACTGTGCCATCAGTGGGGAAACAAAAATAAGGTATGCTAGAAAGTGGATAGTGAAACAGTTTGCTAATTCATAAAAGCGCAGTATAAGTGGAACATGTGCTGCAGTTCAAAGAGCTGTCTTTGGGTTTTACCCTTATACAGTGAATTGTAGTGAATTGAAAGCCAAACAGAGAAATTGAGAATAAAATAGCCAAGCTGTGATCATAGCCGAGTTGGTCGACGTTTCTAAATCGACTATTTTGGCTTTCAGTATGCTACAGTTTGGTGTTTAGGGAATAAACCCTTGAATGGAGTGGCTCTCCATTCATCACCTGTGAATTTTCGTGAAACTACATTAAAATCCTGCCATAGGAAGCGTTTTTGTGCTTTTACCGGGTTATTCGATAGAGTGAGAATTTGCAGGAATTCAAAGGGTATTTCAAATTTAAGGTCAATAACTGACCTGGAAACATTGGTAACTTGGAGAATTGATGCAGTTTGGTTATTGGGGCCATAAATGGGAAATACAATTTGAATTCCAGACAATTCTCAGTTTGTAGTTCAGTTTCCAAACCAATGAGAGCCCTAGTGAAAAGCCCTTCGGTTTGATATGGTTAATTGAACTGATAGCATTAATCATATGCGACCTATAGGATCCATTATTGCTAATTCTCCACCTTTTGACCCCTCAGTCAGCGTGTGCCAATGCGGCTCCAGTAACCAATGCATTGGGGAAGTGAACAAGATGGAAAATATGCCAACGGTTTCAACGGCTATGGGCACTCTTTTTGGGACTTTGGGAGCCATAGGTATGTACTAAAATAAGTGAAGAATTAAGGCAACCTGTATATTCTGCTTAAAGATATATATTTTTTGAGATTTGAGATGTCACCCATGTAACCAGGCAGCTGCCATCAGAAATGTGGGTAACCCTTGCAAGGCTCAAGTATTGGACCCCAGGACCCGCCCTGAAGTCTACCCACAAAGCTCACAGAGAGTGAAGTGTATGTGTGTTGGGGATGTGTTGTGTGCTGTTGTAGAGGATGTAATGTGTGTGTTTATGGAATGTAGTGTATAGGGAAATCAGTTTCTGTAGGAGATGTATTGTATGTATAGGGGATGCAATGTGTGTGTATAGGGAATCCAGCTCATGTAGCGGATTTAGTGTATTTATAGGGAATACAGTTTGTGTAGGGGATGTTGTGTGTGTGTGTGTGTGTATATAGGGCATGCAATGTGTGTGTATAGGTAATCCAGATCATGTAGCTGATTTGGTGTGTATATAGGGAATACAGTTTGTGTAGGGGATGTTGTCTGTGTGTGTGTGTATTTAGGGGATGCAATGTGTGTGTATATGGAATGCACTGTGTTTCTGTGTAAAGCAGGAAGCGTGTGTATATAGTGAATGTAATATGTGTATAGTGGATACATTGTGTATGTTTTGTGGATGCTGTGTATTTGTGTGTAAGGGATACATGCTGTCGTTGTGTAAGGGATGCATTGTGTGTTTCTGTGTGTGTGTGTATGTTTACTATATATGGAATGTTTACACATCTGGACATTGTTTTAGTCAAAGATCGCATGGTTCACGTATAGTATCCATTTAAGGTGTGAAAGTATTGTGATCTTATCTGCTTTATATTAACCCCTTAAGGACCGAGGACAGTTCAGGACCGTCATCTGCATTTTCCCATTGCCACGTCCTAACGGTCCTAGTTACTTACCTGATCAGCGTTGCTCCCATTGTGGGGAGACTGCCTGCAGCCCAGACAGTCTCCCCATGGCGGATTAGGACCCCTGTGGCCATGTGATCGCTCAACACAGCGATCACATGGTCACAATAGGTGTCCATGTGTCTGCCTGCAGGGGGACTGCCTGTGCTGACAGGCAATCTCCCTGCATGTGTAAAAATCAAAAAATAAAAATAAAGTTAAAGTAAATAAAAAAAAAAATATATATATATATATATGTGTGTATATATATATATATATATATATATATATATATATGATATATAGACATATGAAATGTTATTCTAACTGTATTTTGATATATATATATATTACATAAATAATTATATAAATATACAGGTAGACTTCAAATATATAAATATGCATATATATTTAAATTCTACGTGCGTATTTATGTAATATTTTTACATAATTAAGTAATTTTATTAATTGCAACTTGAGGGACCTGCCTGCCAACCCAGGCCGAAAGTCCAGAGAATTTAATTTGCTAGCACTGTATTTTACCTTGTAACTTTCTAGGACACCCTAAAACCTGTACATGGGGGGTTCCGTTTTACTTGGGAGACTTCGCTGAACACAAATATTAGTGATTCAAAACAGTAAGACATATCACAGCGATGATATTGTCAGTGAAAGTGACTTTTTCACATTTTTCACACACAAACAGCACTTTTACTGATGATATAATTGTTGTGATACGTTTTCCTGTTTTGAAACACTAATATTTGTGTTCAGCAAAGTCTCCCGGGTATAACAGTACCCCCCATGTACTGATTTTATAGCGTTTTTGAAAGTTACAGGGTCAAATATATGGGTCAAATATTTTTACATTGAAAATGGCCAGGTTGGTTACATTGACTTTGAGAGCGTATGGTAGCCCAGGAATGAGAATTACCCCCATGATGGCATACCATTTGCAAAAGAAGAAAACCCAAGGTATTGCAAATGGGGTATGTCCAGTCTTTTTTAGTTGCCACTTAGTCACAAACTCTGGCCAAAATTAGCGTTCAATTTAGCTTTTTACTTTTTTCACACACATACAAATATGAATGCTAACTTTGGCCAGTGTTTTCGACTAGGTGGCTACTAAAAAAAACTGGACGTATCCCAGGGCCGGTGCAAGGACTTCTGTCTACACAGGCGAAGACACATTTTGCTGCCCCCAAAATGTATCTTCACCTGTCTGTCTAATATTCCCACTTTTGCCCCTCTTACCAATTATTTTGCCCCTTTGCATCTTACCACCTTTTTCTCTTGTTTTCCTTTTTTGTATATTGTATCCTGTCTGGCATTATTTTTTACATGTTTTGTGTCTTCATCCTACTTTTCTTTACCCCCTTGCATCACACACTCACTCGCTCATACACACACACACACTGACCATAACACACACACACTGACCATTACACACACACACACTGCTAATACACACACACTGGCTCTAACGCACACAGTCTCTTACACACTTGGACGGCTTATACACACTCACCGGCTCTAACAGACACACACAAACAGTCTCTTACACACACTGCTTATACACACTCACTAGCTGTAACACACACACAGTCTCTCACACACACACACACACACTGCTTTACACTCACACAGTCTCTTACACACACACAGTTTATAGACACACACACACACTAACTCTAACACACACACTAACTCTTACACACACACACACACACACACACTGGCTATAACACGCACACACACACACTAGCTCTTACATACACACACGCACTGCTCTTTTGCCACTAACTCTTACGCACACACATAACTCGCGCACGCACGCACACACACACACTAACTCTTGCATACGCTGAAACCAACACACGCATTAACACACACGCACATACATGATGCTTACACTAACTCTTACATACACACGCTAACTCTTACACACACACGCACACACACACACGCACACACTGGCATATTTACACACACGCACACGCCTAATAACACACACACACACACACTAACTCTTACATACACACACTGGCTCTAACACACACACATTAACACACACACACACACATACACTGGCTCTAACACACACACTAACTCTTACACACACACTTACTGTTTCTTATAGTTGCAAAACAGAGGTCCCGCTGCACTGTTGTAGCTTTCCTCCTCTCTCCACAGCAGTTGGCCGCCGGGATATGATGTCACATATCCCAGCGGCCTGTAGCTCAGGAAGAGAGTTGCTGCGGTCGCTCCTCTGTTCCGCCCACTTCCCTCAGTGGCTGCACGTTTCTCAGCCAGCTGGGCAGATAGCTGCAGAAATTGACCGGCGGGAGCGGAGTTCTCCGTGCTCCCGCCAGTCACTCGGACAATTTTTGCGCCCCTTGGGTCCGTGCGCCCTAAGGCGGCCGCTTGTGCCGCCTTATGGTAGCGCCGGCCCTGACTCAGACACATTACTGGGAGTATTATTGCTGTGGAGCTCTGTGATACACTCAGACACATTACTGGGAGTATTATTGCTGTGGAGCTCTGTTATACACTCAGACACATTACTAGGAGTATTATTGCCGTGGAGCTCTGTTATATACTCAGACACATTACTGGGAATATTATTGCTGTGGAGCTCTGTTATACAGTCAGACACATTACTGGGAGTATTATTGCTGTGGAGCTCTGTTATACACTCAGACACATTACTGGGAGTATTATTGCTGTGGAGCTCTGTTATACACTCAGACACATTACTGGGAGTATTATTGCTGTGGAGCTCTGTTATACACTCAGACACATTACTGGGAGTATTATTGCTGTGGGTTTCTGTTATA